GCAACAGATAAGCAGGGACGTACACCACTTATGGTGGCTTCCTGTGAAGGGCATGTGAACACTGTTGAATTTCTACTTTCAAAAGGTAAACTACATTAAGTCTTTATTAAATTGTACATTTATATTTTCTTGCTAAGTTTCAATATTTGACTTTGATCTTTAGGTGCTTCCATATCTGCAGTAGATAAGGAAGGATTAACTCCCTTGAGCTGGTCCTGCCTGAAGGGTCAAAAACTTGTGGTCCAGACTTTGGTAGAGAAGGGTGCAGCAATTGATCACACAGATAAGAATGGTCGCACACCCCTAGATCTGGCAGCTTTTTATGGAGATTCTGACATTGTAAGTATTATCAAACTTTATTTATAATGTAAATGAATGCATTGATATGATGCGTTTGATAACTAAGCATTGATAAATGGTAACAAATGAGAATTTAAATCAAATGACTGGCTCGTTATCAAGAGCAGAATCCATCCTCGAATTTCGCTGTAACCTGGGAAAGTGAGATGAATTGTAGTTTCCATATCCAAAGTTGAATCTGGGATTTTTCTTTTAACCGATACATTTCAGCAGAGAAAAATGCTTATCCAATCAGAAGTCTGTTTTGAATTAAGAAACTATATTTTATCTGTAAATATAAGAAGTTCTTACTTTGTTTCTAACTCTCAAATGAAATGGACAAATCTCTTGAGGTTCAGTGCATAGCTGAGCCACAAAGACTGGGGCAGTTCCATATTCGATACCTGACTTGAATTCAACTTGTGCAGTATGCTGACATTTAATATGAAGGGGATAAAAAAATTACCCTTGATTGCTGGCAAGTAACTTCTGTCTGAAGCTATGGATACAGCTCTATGAACAATGAATGAGGACAGGTTTGGATTCAACAATAATGCCTTAACTTTGTATCTTTGCCAGAATGCTTTGGTTTGCCGTATCTAGCTTTTTGTGCTTCCACACAGGCACTTCAGCCAAACATTGTTGGAAAACCTTACAATATTTCATTACCCCTCTCTATCTCTGTTTGTCTGTAAATTACTTTACCTCTTTTTCCTCCTCTTTTGAAAGTTTCTTCTCAATCTCATCAATTTTGACCCAACTTTCAATTACTTAGAAAAACTAATAATTCCACATGATATAAAGAAAGAGCTAGAGATACAAGATGTAGTACAGGCTGTGGACCCTGACAGCATCCTGGTAGTAGTACTAAAAACTTGCTGTCCAAAACTAAACAATCTACCCATTACGGCTACAAAATCGATATCTATCTGACAATGTGGGAAATTAACAGGTACGTCCTGGCCACCAAAAGTAAAAGAAATCCAATCTGGCCAGTTTTTTTTTTTTTTTAATTCATTTTTGTGGGATGTGGGCATCGCTGGCTGGCCAGCATTTCTTGCCTATCCCTAGTTGCCCTTGAGAAGGTGGTGGTGAGCTGCCTTCTTGAACCGCTGCAGTCCTCCTGCTGTGGGTTGACCCACAATGCTATTAGGGAGGGAATTCCAGGATTTTGACCCAGTGACAGTGAAAGAATGCTGATATATTTCCACGTCAGGATGGTGAGTGACTTGGAGGGGAACTTGGACGTGATGCTGTTCCCATATATCTGCTGTCCTTGCCCTTCTAGATGGAAGTCTGTTGTCTGAGGATCTTTGGTGAATTTCTGCAGTGCATCTTGTAGATAGTACACTCTGCTGCTACTGAGCGTCGGTGGTGGAGGGAGTGAATGCTTGTGGATGTTGTGCCAATGAAGTGGGCTGCTTTGTCCCGGATGGTGTCAAGCTTCTTGAGTGTTGTTGGGGCTGCACTCATCGAGGCAAGTGGGGACTATTCCATCAAACTCCTGACTTGTGCCTTGTCGATGGTGGACAGGTTTTGAGGAGTCAGGAGATGAGTTACTCGCTGCAGTATTCCTAGCTTCTGGCCTGCTCTTGTAACCACTTCGTTAATGTGGTGAGTACAATTGAGTTTCTGGTCAATGGTAACTCCCAGGATGTTGATTGTGGGGGATTCAGTGACGGTAACATCATTGAATGTCAAGGGGCGGTGGTCAGATTGCCTCTTATTGGTGATGGTCATAGCCTGGCATTTGTGTGGCGCAAATGTCAGTTGCCACTTGTCAGCCTAAGCCTGGATATTGTCCAGATCTTGTTGCATGTGAACATGGACTGCTTCAGTATCTGAGGAGTCACGAATGTTGCTAAACATTCTGCAATCATCGGCGAACATCCCCACTTCTGACCTTATGATGGAGGGAAGGTCATTGATGAAGCAGCTGAAGATGGTTAGGCCTAGGACACCAGGACATCTCTGGAGGAGTTCCTAGAGCTGAGATGATTGGCTTCCCATAACCATGGCCATCTTCCTATGTTGTCAGGTATGACTCCAAACACCGGAGAGTTTGCCCCCGCTACCCATGATTCCAGTTTTGCTAGGGCTCCTTGATGCCACACTCGGTCAAACACAGCCTTGATATCAAGGACTGTCAGTCTCGCCTCACCTCTGGAATTCGGCTCCTTTTGTCTGTGTTTGAACCAAGGCTGTAATGAGGGCAGGAGCTTAGTGGCCCTGGTGGAACCCAAACTGGGTGTCATTGAGCAGGTTATTTCTGAGCAGGTGCTGCTTGATAGCGCTGTTGATGACACCTTCCATCACTTTACTGATGCTCGAGAGGAGAGTGATAGAGCGGTAATTGGCCGGGTTGGATTTGTCCTGCTTTTGATGTACGGGATATGCTTGGGCAATTTTCCACACTGTTGGTAAATACCAATATTGTAACTGTACTGGAACAGCTTGGCTAAGACAGCGGTAAGTTCTGGAGCACAAGTCTTCAGTACTATTGCTGTCATGTTGTCAGGACCGGTAGCCTTTGCAATATCCAGTGTCTCCAATCTTTACTTGATATCACGTGGAGTGAATCGAATTGGCTGAAGACTGTATCTGTAATGTTGGGGACCACTGGAGGAGACTGAGATGATTGTCCACTCGGCACTTCTGGCTGAAGATTGCTGTGAATGCTTCAGCCAGTCTTTTGCACTAATGTGCTGTGCTCTTCCATCATTGAGGATGGGGATATTTGTGGAGCCGCCTCCTTCAGTGAGTTGTTTAATTGTCCACCACCATTCATGACTGGATGTGGCAGGACTGTAGACCTTAGATCTGATCCGTTCGTTGTGGGATTGCTTAGCTTTGTCTATCACTTGCTGCTTTCACTGTTTGGCATGCAAGTAGTCCTGTTTGGTGTCTTCACCAGGTTGAAACCTCATCTTCAGGTATGTCTGGTGCTGCTCCTGGCATGCCTTCCTGCACTCTTCTTTGAACCTGGGTTGATCCCCTGGCTTGATGGTAATGGTTGAGTGGGGGATATGAGGGGCCATGAGGTTACAGATTGTGTTGGAGTACAATTCTGCTGCTGTTGATGGCCCACAGCACCTCATGGATGCCCAGTCTTGAGTTGCTAGATCTGTGCGAATTTAGCATGGTGATAGTGCCACACAACACGATGGAGGTTGTTCTCAATGTGAAGGTGGGACTTCGTCTCCACAAGAACTGTGCGATGATCACTCCTACTGATACTGTCATGGACAGATGCAACTGCAGCTGGAAGATTAGTAAGGATGAGGTCAAGTATGTTTTTCCCTCTTGTTGGTTCCCTTACCACCTGTCGCAGACCCAGTCTAACAGTTATGTCCTTTAGGACCTGACCAGCTCGATCAGTAGTACTGCTGCTGAGCCACTCTTCGTGGTGGACATTGAAATCTCCCACCCAGAGTACATTTTGTGCCCTCACCACCCTCAGTACTTCCTCCAAGTGTTGTTCAACATTGAGGAATACTGATTCATCAGCTGAGGGAGGATGGTATGTGGTAATCAGTAGGAGGTTTCCTTGCCCATGTTTAACTTGAAGCCATCAGACTTCATGGAGTCCGGAGTCAATGTTGAGGACTCCTAGAGCAACACCCTCCTGACTGTATACCACTGTGCTGCCCCCTCTGCTGGGTCTATCCTGCCGGTGAGATAGGACATATCTAGGGATGATGATGGTGGTGTCTGGGACATTGTTTGTAAGGTATGATTCTGTGAGTATGACTATGTCAGGCTGTTGCTTGACTAGTCTGTTAGACAGCTCTCCCAATTTTGGCACTAACCCCGAGATGTTAGTGAGGAGGACTTTGCATGGTTGACAGGGCTGTTGCTGCCGTTGTCTTTTCTGGTGCCTAGGTCGATGCCAAGTGATCCGTCCAGTTTCATTTCTTTGCGTCTTTGTAGTGATTGGTACAACTGAATGGCTTGCTAGGCCATTTCAGAGCGCAGCTGAAAGTCAACCACATTCTGTGGGTCTGGAGTCACATGTTGGCCGGCAGATTTTCCTCCCCTGAAGGACATCAGTGAACCAGATGGGTTTTTCCGACAATAGGCAATGATTTCATGGTGATCATAGACTCTTAATTCCAGATGCTCTTTATGAATTCCAATTCCACCATCTGCCATGGTGGAATTTGAACCTGGGCCCCCTGAACATCAGCTGTGTTTCTGGATTAATAGTCTAATGATAATACTACTAGGCCATCGCCTACCTTTGTTGCTTCAGTTTAATCTTGAGCATCAGCAGAGGATGGCGGGAGGTGTTGTGGAAACATCATCAAGTAATACATGTAAAGTGATCTCACTGATGCTTGGTTTGGTTGGACAGGACTACTGTTCCAGTCCTTATTGCATCCTTAATTCAAATATGGTCAAAAGAACTGAAAATGACTTCCATTGGCATCAAGGCAGATTTTGACCCAAGTGCAACATAAAGAATCCCTATCAAAATTGAAGCCCACGGGAATCCAGAGGAAAACTCTCCACTGGTTGAGTTCGAAGAAAAATGGTCATTTGTTAAAGGTGGATTATCTCATCTCCAGGACATTGCAGCAGATGTTCCTAAGTTCATGTTCCAGACTTGACCATCAATGACGTGGTGGTAGGTGGTAGGTTTCATCAATGGCCTTCTCTCTGTGTCATAAGATCAGAATTGGGATGCTTACAGGTGGTAGCACAGTGATTGATGACTCCTCATACTGAAGCAATCTATATCCACATACAACAAGACCTGATAAATGGCAAGTAACATTCCTATGACACAGATTCCATATAATAACTACCAACAATAAGAGAATCTAGTAATCTTGTCTTGGGTTTCAATGACACTACCCTTGCTGAATCTCCACTATCAGTGTTCTGGAGATTACCATTGATCAGAAACCTAATGAGATATCAATACTGTGACTACAAGAGCGTGTTAGAGGCTGGAAACTCTGCAGTGGGTAACTCCTGAGTGTCAGCATTGACAAGGCACATGTCAGGAATGTATTGTAATGTTCTTGTAGTTGCTTAGATCAATTCGAACAACACTTGAAACCCAAAATAATCCAGGGCATGGCAGCCAGCTTGATTGGCACCCCATTCGCCACCCTATTAAATATTCACACCTTAAACCACTGACAGCTTCATGTACCATATACAAGATGATTCAAAGGCTCCTTCGACAGCTCCTTCTAAACCTGTGACCTCTACCACCTCGGATAAGGGAAGCAAATGCTTGTGAATCACCATCTGCAAGTTCACTTCTTGGTCATATCAACTTGAATTGGAAATGCATCACAATTGATTCACTGTCACCATGTCAGAATCCTGAAACTCCATTCCCACCTGCACTAGTTTACTTACTCCAGATGGACAGCAGCGATTCAGAATCCATCAGGACTTTTTCCAAGGGCAGTTTGGGATGAAGTAAGATTTGCCAGTGATGGTCACATCCAATGAAAGAGCAAATCAAAATTGCTCCCTTTCCTCCATTGCTTGGCACCTGTATCGTCAGCTATCTCAACTCTTGCCTCTTGTATTATAATTGCTATATAAATACATGTGGGGGGTGGATGAATAATATGCCAAGGCTCACACATGAATAACACCTTGTACAAAGTACTTGAGGGCAACCTCTTGTAAGCTGTTGTAAAACACCAGCAAGAAGTCTTTAGGAGAGGACGGAAAGGAAAATATGCGGAGTAATTTTTCGGAGGAGGTATGTTTGAAGCAAAATGAGACTGATTTGTTGTTATTTTCATTAATTATTTGAAAGAATATAAAAATCACCAATAAAAATGCTAATATAAAGAATAGTTAAATTATATCAAGATGTAGTCAGAGTCAAAAAACATGTGGATCCTGAAGAAGGGTTCCGACCTGAAATGTTGACTTTCCTGCTCATCGGATGCTGGTTAACCTGCTGTGCTTTTCCAGCTCCACGTTTTCTGACTCTAGCTTCCAGCATCTGCGGTCCTTTCTGTCTCCAAGTATATTAAGGTGTATTTTGGGCATTGCATATACTTGAATGTTAGTTCCACAAAGAAACTAATTATTCAGATCTAAAAGAGGAAGGATTGAATATTCAGGTTGTTTCAGACATTTTGCTTTAAAACAACGATCCTGGCAAATGTCTAAAATGATGAAATTTTATGTCATCAGGTAAAATAAACTTGTTTAGTAAGTTTTATATTTGCTGTTCAGGTTCAGTATCTGGTGGAAAGAGGTGCAATGATTGAGCATGTTGACTACAGTGGAATGCGTCCATTAGACAGAGCAATTGGATGTTGCAACACTTCAGTGGTGGTAATGCTGCTTAAGAAAGGTGCAAAACTAGGTATGGCTTTATGACTGACAGAAAACAAAATTGCAAAAATGAATTGTCATTTTCTTTAAGCTATGATGCCATTTTTGTTCTTGGTTAATTTCTTTTGATTTATAATCTTGTTTATGAGAACTTTGTTTGAAATATCATGTGGTAGCTTCTGATTCATGAGTTTAACTGCATCCACTGTGAATCTGCATGTCACATTTCCAATTTAAACCATGGCTTTGGTATGATTTTTCATTCAGCATTTTTACTTCATTTGTAAACTGATGCATGCAATAAAATAACAGATCAATAGTTTTAGACTTTCTAGAATTATATCTTGAAATTTTCTTTAATTGCAGGGATTTTGTTGGAGATTATCTGATTAATGAAAATTGCAGAAATAGATTCTAAAGACTGAAGTATTGTATATAATTTGTAGCTTAGTTTATGATGTGCTTCATTGTTCTTAATAAATTTTAACTCCTCCTTTCCACTATAATATAGCTAGTCATCAAGGTAGCTTGCTTTTGCAATAAATGTTTTCACTGCTTCCTACACCCTTGGTTATAAATTATACAATGGGACTTTGGTGTTCCCATTTTTTTCTGTAATATACAATTACTTAGTTTTTCAAGCATATTTAGTTGTAATGCTACCATCTTAAAGCTGCATTGCACCACCTATTAATGCTAATATCTATTATTTTTAATAGGATATATCCAAAATTGTACTGGTGTTTGGATTTCTTTTATTTGTTCATAAGATATGTGCATTGCTTACTAGGCCAGCATTATTGCCCAGAAGACAGTTAAGAATAGCTGACATTGTTGTGCACATAGTCACCAAGCAAGGATGATAGATTTTCTATCCCTGAAGGACATTAGTGAACTGGATGGCTTTTTATGACAATTGATAGTGATTTCACAGAGGCTGTTTTTATTCCAGATTTTTGAGTTTATTCTTTACCATCTTGCTATGGTGGTATTGGAATCCATGCCCTCAAAACATTATCCTGGGTGACTGCTTTACTACTCCTGAGGCAATACCATTACATCACTGCCTCTCCTTGCATTTCTGAATAAAGCCAGGAACATACAAACAGGCTCCTTGAGCTTGTTCCACCATTCATTTGAGATGGCTGATCTGTAGCCTAACTCCAAAATCCTGTCTTTGGCTCATATCCCTTAATACCTTTGCTTAACCAAAAATTATCCATCTCCTATTTAAAACTAACAACTGATATTCCCTGCCCTATGTGGAAGAAAGGTTCAAACATCTACCACTCTTTGTATATAGAAGTGCTTCCTAACATCTCTCCCAAATGGTCTGGCCCTAATTCTCAAACTAAGACCCTAGTTCTAAGATTTAATAACATTGATTCATTTCTAAATGAAATATTGGCTTTGCAGGAGAAAATAGAAATTCCCTAACACTTGTGCCGGTGCTTCTAAATGTAGCATAAGTTTCATATTTAGACAATAGGTTGAGCTGTTCCTACTGTGTGTTATTTATAAAAGCTTGGGGACTGCTTTGCGGAACACCTACGCTCAGTTCGCAACAAACAACTACACCTCCCAGTGGCGAACCATTTCAACTCGCCCTCCCACTCCTTGGACGACATGTCCATCCTGGGCCTCCTGCATTGCCACAATGATGCCACCCGAAAGCTGCAGGAACAGCGTCTCATATTTCGCTTGGGAACCCTGCAGCCCAAGGGTATCAATGTGGACTTCACAAGCTTCAAAATCTCCCCTGCCCTGACCGCATCCCAAAACCAGCCCAGCTCGTCCCCGCCTCCCTAACCATTCCTCCCACCTCAAGCCCCACCCCCATCTCCTACCCACTAACCTCATCCCGCCTCCTTGACCTGTCTGTCCTCCCTGGGCTGACCTATCCCCTCCCTAACTCCCCACCTATCTTCTCCTTTATCCATCTTCTGTCCACCTCCCACTCTCTCCCTATTTATTTCAGAATCCCTTTCCCCTCCCCCATTTCTGAAGGGTCTCAACCCGAAACGTCAGCTTTCCTGCTCCTCTGATGCTGCTTCGCCTGCTGTGTTCATCCAGCTCTACACCATGTTATCTCAGATTCTCCAGCATCAGCAGTTCCTACTATCTCTGTAATAATTCTGTTGTAATTAGTTTTTCTCAAATTTAGCACTTTCACCCAGAACCAGTGTTCTCTTTATCCATAACTATTTTAAAACTGACTGACTTATGATCAGTCTTCCCAATGTGCTCCCCTACTGAAACTCTGATCACCTGACCAGGCTCAGTCCCCAGTACAAGGTCTAGGATGACTCCTTCCCTAGTTGCGCTATCTATATATTCTGTCAAGAAGATCTCCAAGATGCCACCCCATCAAAGCACTAAGGGAGTCCTAATTAATGTTGGAAGTTTAAAAACGTCCACGACAACAGCCCTGTTGTTCCATCTTTCCCTGATCTGCTTACATATTTGGTTCCTTATCTGCCACTGGCTTTTGGTAGGCCTATAATATTACCCCATTATAGTGATAGCACTTTTCTTGTTATTAAGTTCTACTCGTATGGCATCACTCATAAGCTTTTCAAGATGTTCCCTCTCAATACAGCTGTGATATTATCATTAATCAGCTTTTACATCCCTCTCCATCTCGCCTGGAATGTTGAGCTGCCAGTCTTGCCCTTGTCTCAACCAAGTTTCTTTAATGGTTACCACATTGCAGTTCCATGTCATAATCCACACTCTTAAGCTCAACTGCTTTACTTGTTATACTTCTTGCAGAAAAGAAAATACATTGCAGACTGCCAGTCCTGCCATGTTTGTTATACTGGCCCTGCCTATTCTTCCTATCAGTCTTAATTGACTTAATGTCAACCTCCTCCTTAATCAATTCACAGACTGACCTACTGCTCTGTTGCCCATTCCCCTGCCATGTTACTTTAAAACCTCCCAAGTGGCACTAGCAAACCTCCCTGCAAGGTTATTAGTGCCCCTGCAGTTTAGGTGCAGTCCGTCCTTCTTGCATAGGTTCCACCTGTGCTGCACAAAATCTAAAAGATCTAGATATCTGAAGCCAGCCCTCCCTCCTACACCAGTTCTTTAGCCTTGCATTCGTCTGTATTGCTATTTCTGGCCTCACTAGCATGTGGCAAAGGGAGTCATCCAGAGATGACAACTGAAAAGGTCCTCTCTTCAACTTCCTACCTAACTCCCTAAATTCCCTTTGCAGGACCTTAACACTCTTCCTACCTATGTCATTTAGTATCAATATGGACCACTGCCTCTGGTTGCTCACCCTCCCCCTTCAGAATATCCTCGACCTTGGCACCAGGGAGGCAACATACCATCCTGGAGTCTCACTCAGCCTCAGAAATGCCATATTGCTAGGGCAGTTTTCAGTAGGACATCTCTTTTAATTATAAGATTTAAATTTTAAAAAGCTTCCATTAATGTGTTACAAAGGCTACAGGAGTTCTTATGATTGTTTAGGTATTTGGTTTTGAACAGAATTTTCTGTTGAAGAAAATGTCTTAAAGTTTATACAACTTGATGTTTAACTTGACCTAAGGATATGTCCTTTTCTAAAACAAAGCGATATCATTACTTGTCTAGGTAATGCAGCTTGGGCAATGGCCACATCCAAACCAGACATCTTGATCATTTTACTCCAGAAACTAATGGAAGAGGGAAATCTACTATATAAGGTATATTCTGACCATGTTGAAATATCATATGACTTAGAACAATGCACGCCTTTAAACTTTCAGTGCAGTTCAGAAGCTGCTGTTCCTTTCTGATGTACTGTCTTGATAATCAAGTCCACTCTTTTGCAGAACCTCAGAACTATGGGATAACTTGATGTTTTCCTTCTTTGCTACACGATAGAGACCTGTAAAATACAGTCTTGCATCCCTTAATTGTTTCCTAATTTACATGGTATTCTCTCCTATTATTGTTGACATTAGTATCCTGAACTAACTGTAATGGGCCTCCAGTTAAGGTTCTCAGTCGATAACAAAAATGGAATCCAAAATGATCGTCTTTTAAAAATTGCAATTTTCACAACATTTGAGATTTTTTATTTATATAAAGAACAGAGTTTGAACACATACATTTAGGGGGAAAATAGCTATATTTAACTTGTATTATAATTCTGTTGGCACCCTCTGAATAATACTGGGATGGAAACAAGTATTGCTAATGTCCAATGTTCATCCAGTTTTAATAAAGTTGAAATATAGTAATCATGTTCAATGTGGATTAATTAAATTCCATCTAAAGTCAAATGTATAGGCTTAAATGTAAATTGAAAATCAGTCCTAATGTATCATTATCATTACTGTTTTGTCTTGTATACCGTATGAAAATAGGGCTGTTAAGGCTATACAAAGCATTGGACAGACCACATCTGGAATACTATGAACAGTTTTGGGCCCTTTATCTGACGACAGATATACTGGCCTTGGGGGTAGTCCACAGAAGATTCACTGGATTGATTTTGAGTATTGAAAAATTTTCTTATGGGAAAGGTTTAATAGGTTGGGCTTATACTGTCAGGTATTTAGAAGAATGAGAGGAGACTTTATGAAACAGGATAGATAGAGGTTGGAGATAGTAGGAACTGCCGCTGCCGGAGTCTGAGATGATAACAGCAGGCCAGGCAGCATCAGAGGAGCAGGAAAGCTGACGTTTCGGGTCGAGACCCTTCTTCAGAAATTCTAACTCCATGTTCAATTCTGACAAATTGAGTCAGCTGATGTCAATCTCATAGAACACTTAAAATGGGATATTGATCTGGCTTGATGACCTAACCCTGGAGAGAACCCAGGATTTGCATGTTCTAGCTTGTAAATATGAACTACACGATGTGGAGGGATTTATGATGAAGGGTACCTCGTCGACCTGTACCAAAAATATTTTCCAAAACTGACTAATACCAAACTTGTTGTGGGTTAAACGATGGAAGATTTCAAGCCAGGCTGGCGCTCTCGAATGTTGCTCATGTATAGATATATTTGGAAATTGTTAATGGCATTTTCAATACTTGGTATTTATCTGCCAATAGCTCACTGGACAACCACCAAATTTCTCTCTACTATTTTCAGTCTTAGTGGGAGCTCTAAAGTCTATACTTGCAAGGAAAAACATCTACATGTTACACCTTTTTTCGGTTTGCTAAGTTAATAAATCAAAGCAGAAGAGTGAAGGTATTGCTGTCTCCATATTGCACTTTATGACATTATTTTTCTGTCTGATATTGATTCTTTGGTGTGTTCTGTGAATTATAGCTCCCCTACATACTGTGCTTTGTAACTGTTATTCGTGTATGATATGCCATTATTAGAACTGATATCAATCCGGACCTTTTAAAAATGCTGGACAGCAATGGTAGCAAAGAATAATGAAATAACAAAGGTAAAGGTGCTGGATTGGGAAAAAAAAGCAAAGTTTAGCAAAATGGAAAGGGAAATGAACAGAAAATATAGCAAACAATGGAAAAACTTAAGGTATGAAATGCAGAAAGTATTAAAATGAAGTGATTCCTTTTCTAATATTATGTCTTGTAAATTGTTCCATATATTCTTCTCCACATGCCTCCTTCATTCTTTACTGATTATATTGCCTTGCAAACTAAAAACTAATCTTACATTTGCTATTCATCTAGATCTCCACTCACTTTGTAAAAAGTTTTTGAAAGTATATATCATTAAAAGCATCTGCAGAACTCCTACAGCTAGAGGTTACTAGTTAGGCCCAGAATTCTCCTCTTTCTAAACCATGGTATAGTTAATTTTTATCAAGACGAATGTATCAGGCCATTGCAGACTGTAGGTAATTTGGATTTTATCCAGTTTTTTCCCTCCGATCCTTTGGATCTGATGTCTTAATGGAATAAATAAGCTTAACAACTAATAAAGATAAATACGAATAAGGTTTTGCTCTCAACTCCCGCAGAAAGGAAAGATGAAGGAGGCAGCCCAGAGATATCAGTATGCCTTAAGAAAATTTCCACGTGATGGCTTTGGGGACGAAATTCTATCTTTCAGAGATCTGAGGGTTTCTCTCTACTTAAACCTATCCCGATGTCGGAGGAAAACTAATGTAAGTTATTCTATTTAATTTCTTCTAGTTTATTTTCTCAAAGCCTGACTTAGTGAAAATCTTTTGTTTAACAGGTGCTGGGTCAAGAACTGTGATGAAATGCATTAACCGTTGACATTAAAACAAATTGCAGTGTTTAGCTTACACACATTACTTGGTTTGAAGAAGAGTGTACCAATTTTTAAGATAACCAACAAATGGTAGAAAAAGCCCAGTTGATGCTGCTAATTGGAATTTCTGATATTGTGTATGTTTTGTATCTGTGTAAAAGAAGTCAAACAACTTGTATTTATACAGCCTCCTTAACATATTGAAATATCACAAGGAGCTTCACAAAGCATACAGCACTAACTATGGTGTGATCAATGAGGTAAGTCTTTAAAAGGAAGAATGTGAGGTATAGAGATATAGGGAGGAACTCCAGTACGTTGGAGAATTGGGGGACATTACAGATTTAAGCAGGAGTCAGCTCATGCAGGTATTGGTGGGGTGGCGGAGAGAGAGCGGAATGGATGGGAATTTTAAAATCAAAGCATTACTTAATTGAGAGCAATGTAGATCAGCAAGCATAGGTTGATAGGAGAATAAAACCTGCACTAGTCTTCCCAATATTCATGCCTGACTACTGTACAGGACAAAAGCAATCCGTGCCATTTTTCATCACTAACAAAATAACTGCAATTATTATAGCACGCAATTAACAAATGACAGAAAAGCTAGAATTTCTAATTTACTGCTGGGCAACTTGAACTTTAAATCCCCAAAATACCTGCACACACTTATTCACAATTAAGACTGATTGTTTGACACACATGATTGGGAAAAAATAGAACTTTGAAAATCAATAAACCAGATTTCAAGGATAGGTTAGATTGTTTGATAAGAGGGCAGCACAGTGGCTCAGTGGTTAGCACCGCTGCCCCTCAGTGCCAGGGACCCGGGTTCGATTCCACCCTTGGTTGACTGTCTGTGTGAGTTTCCTCCCACAGTCCAAAGATGTGCAGGCTAGGTGGATTGGCCATGCTAAATTGCCCATAGTGTTCAGGGGTGGGATGCTCCAAGGGTTGGTGTGGACTTGTTGGGCCAAATGGCCTGTTTCCACCCGTTGCTATCTGTAAAGTAATGGTCTTTTGTCACTTTGACAAACGATCCAGCACATTAATCTAGCACAAGTCTTGTTAGAATTTTATTTTCTTCTAAGCTTTCTTGATTTTACTTTTCCCGTAAATGGAGGGAAAGAAAGGAGGGATGTGTTCAATTTGCAGGCTGTGAACATCTTTGGCGGCCCTTGCAGTTACAGCTTTGCAACAAACTGCTCAATTAATGAAAGAACTATTGTCAGGTAGAATTTCCTGGACTGTCAATGCCACTATCTCAAAGTGTCTCCTTCAATGATTTAAAAATAACATTGTCTGCTTTTCTGCTCCTCTAATGGTGCTTGGCCTAGAACATAGAACAAACAGTACAGCACAGTACAGGCCCTTCGGCCCATCATGTTGTGCCGAACTTTTACCCTAATCCTAAGGTCTGTCTAACCTCCACCCCTACCTTATACTGTCATCCATATGCCTATCTAATAGCCGCTTAAATGCCCCTAATGAGGCCGACTCCACTACCCTCTCCGGAAATGCATTCCACACCCTGCCCACTCTGAGTAAAGAACCTACTTCTGACGTCTCCCCTATATCTACCTCTACTCACTTTAAAACTATGCCCCCTTGTAATAGCTACCTCCCACCCGAGGGAAAAGTCTCTGGCTGTCCACTCTATCTATACCTCTGATCATTTTGTACATCTCTATCAAGTCACCTCTCATCCTTCGTCATTCTAAAGAGAAAAGCCCTAGCGCTCTCAACCTTTCCTTGTAAGACCTTCCCTCCATTCCAGGCAAATCTCCTCTGCACCTTTTCCAACGCTTCCACATCTTTCCTGTAATGAGGTGACCAGAACTGGACACAATACTCCAGATGTGGCTGAACCAGGCTTTTGTATAGCTGGAGCATAACTTCACAGCTCTTGAACTCAATCCCGCTATTAATGAAAGCTAACACACCATACGCCTTCTTAACAACTCCATCTACCTGGGTGGCAGTTTTCAGGGAACTGTGGACATGAACCCCAAGATCCCTCTGCTCCTCCACACTGCCAAGAATGTTTCCGTTAACCCTGTATTCTGCTTTCAAGTTTGTGCTTCCAAAATGAATCACAACACACTTTTCAGGGTTAAACTCCATCTGCCACTTCTCGGCCCAGATCTGCATCCTATCAATGTCCCTTGGTAACCTGGAACAGCCCTCCGCACTATCCACAACTCTAACCACCTTCATATCGTCCGCAAACTTACTAATCCACCCTTCCACTCCTTCATCCATTGGCCTGCTGTGTTCCTGCAGCTCCACACTTTGTTATCTATTGTCTTGCATTACTTGATTTTTTCCAAGTAGCAAAACTCACCTGGTATTTCAGCTATCTATCTGTTCAGCTTCTGATTCAGTTTATATTCTCAAAAAGTAAATCTCGTACAGGCATACAGGTGAAAACTACAGCTGGATAGCACGTGGATAAGAAAGGGAGAGCTAAAGGAAGTTCCATGGGGAGCACCAGAGGTTACAGTACGGGAGCAGGAAGAGAAGTCATTACTAGTAATTCTTTCGCTATGATTACGTAAAGAAGAGTGGAGGAGGTGGAGGAAGATGATGTAAAGGGTCAAAAGCTGCAAACAGATCAAGGACAAGGAGACAAAGTTTATCTTTGTCACAGTTCAAAAGGATCTTTTAACTTTGATAAGAAGTATTTTAGTGCTGTGGGAGTAACAGTGATTAAAAGAAAATTACATATTTAAGGACTTGGGAAAAGAACGAAGAGTTTTGAGGTGAAATGATTGTTTCCAAGGACAATACGGTCAGGCATTTTTCGAAAGGGGTGACGACAATTGACTTAAATGAAAGAGGGGTAGTGGTTAAAGAGTACCAGTTTCAGTGTCGGCTAATGAGCCAGAGTAGAAGTCAGGTGATCAGCTATTTTGTAGGAATAATCAATGGAAACAACAGGTGGATCTCAGGGACATGATAATTCCAGCTTATTGGACGGTATTGGGTTTTGTGACAAACAAATTCAAGTTCCTCACGTTTCTTGTTGAAGTGAAGGGCAAACGAAAGAGACAGTTTGCAGTAAAGAAACCCAGGTTATTTCTGTCATCCAGTGGTGAACAGAACTTGTTCATGCTTTTATTGATCCTTTCAGATGTAGAAGATGGCTGAATCAGTTATGTCCTGTCAAGTGTGCATCCATTAAACTTACGGGAACAGAGATGAGGGTTGTACCCAGGGTATGGTTTAGAGTGAGGGAGAAGTACTCATTCTTTTGAGGATGAGATCATAAAGGTAGTAATGACAATGTGGTTTAGTAAATTGATTACTGCAGAAATGTTGCAGCAAACAGAGCCAAATGCTTCATGGTTGGGATTTTGAATAGACAGCTGTAAATAAATTGGGGATCCTCTCAGGAAGAGGTACAAAGGAAGGGGTGGTGGTAGCATACACACCCAGTGATAAAATGGATGTGGCAAGGTCAAGAAGCTAGTCGAGGTTGTTACACAGAGGAAGAGATTTAGGATTAAGCCGTGCCCCCTTAACGGGTGCATGCAAGAGAGGGCTGGATTCCTCCCATTTAATTTTAGCCTGTCTTTTCAATATATTGTATACCTGGTTTAGACAATCGCAAACAAAATAAGATAACTCATTGCACTCAAAAATGCATGTTTAAACGTCTTTGTCAATAATTAAAGTCAGATGTTTTATTTATGCAAAATTACATGAATATAATTTAAATTATTCTGCATTGTAGCTGAATTCTCTCAATTTGCCATAACTACTGTATGATAATGCTCAGATATTAAATGGCCATTTGTACGTAATCTTAACAGCTTTAAGCCTACTGGGTTCAAATATACATGGTCCTTCAAGTTGACTGGATTTATGGAATACTCTGTTTAGCTCTTGAATGCTCATCATCACAGGAATCTGTTAGCTTGTTTCTTCAATTGTATATGTATGTTTCTCTAAATAAACCCCTTTCACTTACAGCCATCTTATAAATTGCATCACTGTAGTATTTATGTTACTTCTATCTTGACTTACTCTGCCTTAACCTTACAGTTTCACTTTTAACCTTGCTTATGCTTCAGTAGAATTTTGTATTTTCTGAAAAATCATAGCACTATGGAAACTAAGAGGCTTCTTGTTCTTTGCTTCTCCTGATCTACATCTTTCTTGCTTTGATGTTCTGTAGTTTCCAGCTGTCAGAACTGGACTGAAAACCCAAACGGTTATCCTGATCACCAGGGTCTTTCCCAGATATGTCATCTGTTTTGGTTATTGGCCAAAACTTAAGTGCATAATAATCAGGAACCACTGTCTCTAAGAATCCTGAATGCTTATTTCAGAACTGGGAATCAGTTTGTTGGCCAACAGATTTAGTTTTCCAGCTTTATTTTATATTTCAAGTAAAAAATTCACCATAACTGTACAAGTAAAGCATTAATAGTTACATAGTATATTAAACTACAGATGTTGGATAACCAAATTTGTACAACCCATTTTATACGATAGCTTGCCTGCCTAATCTGTAAATACTTAGCACATTTCAAGCTATCCTCCAAGAAGGACCTGAATTCTCTAAATTATTTGTTAGGTTTCCAGAGTTTTAACTCTGTAGTGTTATTGGAAAATCTAGTCCATATGTTGATCTGGATGTAAATAATTTCTCAGAATCCTGAAGTTTGCCTTTTATTAGCTTGAATTAATGCTCACTTGTTCTACTCCTCTTACCTATTGACCTTTTTTAATTTCTTTTTCAGGGCTTTCCTTCATAACAGCCTTATGGGTTTTGGTTTAGCAATTTGCGATTTTTATCATTTTGTTTTGCTTTTCTGTTTTCTCCAAGCACCTGTTTCGTATGTTTCTGCATTTTCTTCTCTTTATCCATGTAGCCACTTTACAAGTCCTGCAAGGAAAAAGAGATTTACTTTTCCTCAGAGTAAACCTAGAGTAAAGTTTATTTGCTTTAGCAATGCATTTATCCAACATTTTTATCATTATACCTTTCCAAGGTTCTATAACATTGCTTTGGTTGTTCCCTCATTTGTTTGCATTTAGCTCTTTCCTAATCTCTAGAAGACAATGTCCTTCTGCTGCTGGTTTTGAATGATGGTCTCTGCCTAGAGTAAGACAGATACTCTGATCAGAGTAGTTCTTTTTAAGGCTTGTTCCCTCCTACAGATTCAACTTAATTTGCCTTTGTAGTATTCCTGAATACTATATTGTATTAATTTTTATCTGCTGGCTTCAACTGTTTCCACTGTATCATAAATTCCCTGTAGTCATCACTGTTTCCAGTTTTAGTAATTTGTTTCTAATGCTTAATGCATCTTGATGAATTACTGTCCCTTATTGTCAATCTGTACATTCCACTTCTGAATTCTCCCTGCACCTTTTCCAAGATCTTTCATGCTTGACATTTATCTTAAAGTATAACAGCCAGCTGAGGCCTAACAAGTTGTTTTGAGGGTATCCTATAATTATGCAACCTTATTATTGTTGTGTTGTGTTTTTAAACAGCCTTCTGGGCCCAATATATGTAAATTTTAAAGTGATTACGTTTTTTATTCTTTCAGGAGGTTGATGGAAATGCCATTTAATGGCATTTCCGTCTGGTGCAAATATTTGTCCTGATGTTTCTGCATAGGGATAGGTTACTTCAGTATTTGACACGTTGTTGACATTGGGGTGGTTTACTTCAGAATTTCACTTTGCATCCTTGATGGTAATCCTCAAAGAATGATTACTTTGGGTGGCACAGTGGTTAGCACTGCTGCCTCACAGCACCAGGGACCTGGGTTCGATTCCAGCCTCGGGCGACTGCCTGTGTGGAGTTTGCACATTCTCCCCGGGTTTCCTCCCACAGTCCAAATATGTGCAGGTTAGGCGGATTGGCCATGCTAAATTGCCTGTAGTGTTCAGGGAGGTAGAGGGTGTATATTAGGTGGGTCATAGGGGGATGGATGTGGGTGGGATGCTCTGAGGTTCGGTGTGGACTTGTTGGGCCGAAGGGCCTGTTTCCACACTGTAGGGATTCTAAACTTTCATTTTTCTCTCCTCTGTTGTTATGACGTGGCCTATCAACACTAGCTCTACCTTGTACCTCAGTATCCTTTTTTAACAGCTTCCTCAATCATTCCCTTTCCAAATTAGTATCTTTATCTAGTAAAAGACAAGAAGCATTGAATTGGATGGTGTAGTCAGCATTCTCAAATTACACCCACACTAAACTATGTTCCACTTGCCTCAGTTCATTTTGCAAAACCATATCTGGTGCTTGCTCCATGGGGCTAGAAACCCACTTGCCACAACTTCTGCACATTTCAGAAATTGCTTCTTCTGTATTCCCTTTAGTCTTTCAAGTTTGTCCCTGCCTCCATCTCATTCCTACTGTTTGGTTAGAATGAAAAGTCTTTACTTGCCTTCTTCCTTCCGCCGTCTTCATGCTGTAATAATTTAGTTGTTCCATTATTCCTCCTTCTGAATAAGCTCTTGGAGTAACAACTTGGCCAAGCGCTTAATGCTAACTTGAATAAAAGTTAAATACTGGAGAAGCTCAACAGACGTGGCAACAGAGAAAATTCTATTTGTTTTTTGCCTCACTCCACAGATGCTGCCAGTTTTGCTGAGTTTCTCCAGTGTTCTTTTGTATTTGCCCTGTCTTTTCCCTCACTCAGATCAATATCCTTACAACTAAGAAAATTTCTGAGAGAAAATAATTGACAGAACTGGGTAAGATTTCACACTAAGTGTACCCACTTTTGCCTTTTTTTAACTCCAGGACTTCGGAATGGCAGAGGAATTTGCTTCTAAGGCATTGGAATTAAAGCCAAAATCATATGAAGCTTACTATGCCAGAGGAAGGGCTAAAAGGAACAGCAGGTGAGAACGCCATACATGTCTCCTAGAGTAGTCTTTGCAACCCATCTGAAGCAATTAACTCTGCAAATGAATAGGGCTTGGAAATAAAGATTTGGGTGCTGTTATATTGTGTATTTTGAAAAGTGAGCTCCTGTCTGCTTAAAAACTTGGAATAAAATTCATTACATAGCGAATAATACTTCTTTTCTACAGGCAATTTTCTGCAGCTCTGTCAGATCTACAAGAGGCTGCTAAGCTTTGTCCTAACAACCGAGAAATAAAGCGGCTCCTGGCTCGAATAGAAGAGGAATGTAAACAACTACATCGAGCACAACAACAGAAACAGCAGTATCAGCAACCACAGCAAAACAACGAATCTGATAACGAAGAGGAATTACTACACCAACACCTCGACAGCTCATTGTTTGGCATTGAAGGAGTTGATGAGGCTAGTGTTGGACTACCTAGTGAAATTCAACCTGCATCATCAAAGCTTCAGCATTCTCCAAGCTCAGTTCTATTTAAAAAAGGACTTCAAGATGATGCAAGTTCTGAACAGACCCCAAGGGCTATCTCTCCACAGAATAAAACTAAACACAAATTCCTTTGGGAACCACTTACACAGCAAGGTCTAGTTACTCAGCCTCCCAGACAAGCTCAAATTGTGAAAACAAACCAGCATATGACTTTTTTACAAACTGGAGGAAGAAATACAAGTTCCCACCATGATCATAAAACTCCTCCAGTCCCCTTACCCAGCAATAGAAATGCTCAACAAATAGAGCGTGCAGTCAATACCAGAACATTTTCTGGGACTTCTGGAGAAAGGGTGGCTTCAGCTTGGTCTGTGCAGCTGCAGCACAATGAACATACTACAACTGAGAATGTTATAAATGTGTCAATGGATTTATCAGAAAATGTAGATCAAGGAGTACATGTGAAGTCTTCAGCTATTTCTGGTTCTACAAGCAGTCTAGCCTCCAATAGCACTGTCTCTGACAACAGGCAAACTTCAAATGCTCACCTCAAAAACAGCTTGGAATGTAATATGGAGAAGTCCAACCAAAACTTGAGTGGAGCTGAATGCAGACCAAGGACTACACCATTTATGGGAATAATTGATAAAACAGTAAGATCCCAGCAGCATCAGTCCAACAGTCAACAGATTCGATTGTGGCATGATCAATCAATAGATGGAGTAGTTACAAATGCTTCAATTCCTACTGGCCAAAATATTCACTGTGAGCCACAGTTTACCAAATCTGTTGGTGCCTATCATGATCATAAAAAACTTCCAACTCTGGGTTCTGCTGGAAATCTTCACAACGGAATGCATTCCAAGACTTGTCAGACCACCACAAACTTGCAAGAATCTAATTCATCCTTGACGGTTCCACAGAGTTCTAAGTCACAATCTCTCATAGCTCGAGATACACATTCAAGTAATAATACTCCATTAAAACCAAAGCAATCTTTTATAGAATCTAATGTGTAAACTAGACTGATGAACTCTACTGGTAAGCAATAGTCATTACCTTTTTGTCTCAGTTGTAATCTAGTAGTAGAATTTGTAGTTACTGATATATAGGAGCAGGAATAGGTCATTCAACATGATCATCCATTTCAGTACTCTGTTCTCACTTTTTCCATATAACCTTTAACCCTAAGAACTATACCTGAATTCTTCAAAACATTGAATGTTTTGGCCTCAACCACTTTCTGTGGCAGGGAATTACATGTTGTTATAAAAAGGTAAGCTTTAACCTAGCTGGCTCTTGCACTGATTCTTGTAATATTGCATTTAACACAAAATGAATAACTGCACTTTATAAAATTGCTGTAGAGTGCTTTTGCTGTTATTTTTAAAAAATCTTGTATACAGAACATGCATTTTTAACATTTCAGTGAAAAGGAAGATGTAGATTTAGTTAAGATACACACTGCAGTTATTTTTACAAATCAGCCAGCCCTTGGACAAACCTCTTGTAGAATGATTTATGTAGTCATGAAAAACTTGGCTAAATCAATATGTTGCACTAATTAAATTGTGTAAAATAGTGGTTATATTACAAGTTTCCCAATACTAACTATTTATTTCCGCTATTTTTCCCACCCACAGATCATGTAATTATTTCTTTAACTAAACTGCTAATAATTTATTCCTTATAGCATATTGTATTGCCAAGCAGAGGAAAAAAAAATCTGATAAAGTATTGTATAATTTCTAATGTTTGATTTAATTCTCTTTTCTAGAACATACTCAAAAAAAAATAAAAGATAAGTATATTCTAATATTTATGGGTTGTGAATTGTCTTTTGTCAACTGAACTGATTTTCATAAATGCACTCTCCAGGGATGTTCAATTTATTTACTCCAGACGAATAAAACTTGGGCTTTGGGAGGTTGTTTCAGCACTAGTCTCTGACTGCATGTTTTTCTACATCCATTAGCATATAAATGCAAATAATGTTGACAAATTTTCTTACTGCAGGATATTTATTCCTTATATTTCCACACAAGCTGTTAAATATTATAATGGCTACCACCTAGTTTGTATGCTTTAAAACTTAACATACAATTCAGTCCATTATTTATTTTAAAATTTGGATGCTAACATTTAATTAGAAATGAATGAAACTCAAACTGTTATTTAAATATTTCTTTCTCTTGATAAAAACACCTACCCAAGATTTAATCGCATCCTTGGTTTGCTGGCATTCGTAGTATTTGTCGGGCTTCTATCCAGCGGTCAATAGCCATTTTAAGTGTTCTGTTGGGTGTTATTAAAGATGTTTCCAATGGCTTATTTGTCATAGGACTTGTACGTTTTTTAGTATTAATCCAGCTCTCAATTGCTTCTCTCTCATAAGAGTAGCCATCTATCAAATGAATAAAGTGTCAATTGCACAATAAATACTAGAGCTCCACTGGTTAGTTGTTGAGTCAGTGAGAGCAAACAACATTAACACAGTCTTCACTTCTCAACAGGGAGCCTCAAAGTACTTTATCATCTTACTCTGCAACAACTACTTTTGGCTTGATGCGGGAGGAAGTTGGAGTATATATCCCAGACAGACTACCTTATAGCTGCTGAGGTTGCACATCTAAATTTAGAAAAGTGGTCTAACTTTGACAATTACAAGTATCAATCTCACTACCTGAAGCAATCACTGGATCAGTCATGATCTCCCTTGATATTGGACAGAGGAATTCGTCTGGTACCTCCACACAAATGAGTTCCATTTTGGCTTTTAGTTCTTCAATTTTTCGCATTGCTTTGTTACGCAGTCCAAGTGACCCTGTAAAAATAATATTAATTGGAGCAAGCTCTAATGCATTTTTATGAATAAACAGCAAAAATTGAACCTTGGCTTAAATCTAAGTTATATGCTAGAAGAATATGGAGGAATATTAACATGAAACGTTTTCAATTGTGTATGAAGTGTTCTCCAAAAATATTACCTATGATTGCAGCTTTGAACTTATAAATTTGAGCTGCCAAGCAAGTTATCCATCTGTCTCCACGTATGCATTGCGGAGTTGAACCTATAGCTTCAAGTCTAATTCTTCTATCTGCCTTCCTTATTCTCACTTGCGTTATGATTTTAAGCCCAGTTAGAGACAAAAAACTTGCAGATGCTGGACGAACACAGCAAGCCAGGCACTATCTGGAAGAAAGAAGAAGCCAACGTTTCAGCTACCCGAAACATTGACACCTCCTGGTGATGTTAAGCCCAACTTGTTTTGGAATCTGGCTTTTGAATGCATGTGATTGTACTGGTTTCTGAAGTGAAATGGCTTCTCATACACCATTTATTGGCTCCCTGCTTCCTAAATGAGAATCTACCCTGTTCATACACTAAAACTTGGCTAGTCGCAGGTGATGAACCATTGTGTTAGTTACACATCATCACTCAATATCTACCACTTACTCAACAACAGACACTTGAAGAACAATGGGTCCAGTTGCTGAGCACCCACCTACATTCCTGCAGCAAACACGAAAGGGTTTACAGAGGTTGGTCGATCTCAGGATCTTAATGAGAGGAGGCTACTGACCTGATTATGATTAATTTCTTATCACTAGTCCACATAATTTAAGGCTTTTAGCTACCTTCTGCTCTTATGAGGTTCGTGTCTTATTTATGCCTATCCCAGAGCAGCAGCCTCATTTCTCCTAGTCCTAAGAATCTTCAATTGCTGCCTGGTTCACAGCTCACGACTATCCTAGATTAAAATTACTACTGACATTCATCCTCTGTAAATAGAGTTCAACAACAATGCAACTTCTTCCAGTTTCCGTTTCCATTGCTGCTGTGACCACCCTCCTGGTTCCACTCAAACTTCGCACTGCACCCAGCTATAGCAAACTACTCTAAACTTGCATCCTACATATCTACCACCCTGTCTTTTTTATACTTACCATTTGACAGCAGCTGATAAAGTGGCTGTTTTTGGTTCTGGACCTTTTAATTTCAAAATACTGCAGCACATTGCTGCGAAGAAGTACTGGTTTGCCTTAGCCCAACAGTTCTGCACTATATGAGAACTGTCAGAATGGAAATATGGCTCTGAAAAATCTATCCATTTATATAAATTCCTGATCCTTGTTGGTAAGGTGCACTATGACTAAACGCTACTTCTGCCATATTAGCCAATTTAATGGCCTGTCCCATCTGTTGACTGTATAGTCCTTGCTCCAAGAACTAAGCCATTAGCTGTTCTCCTGTTGGAATTTCCTTGCTGAACTCCTGTGCTTTTAGTTCTCTGGTTTATGGGAGACTTTTAAAGGTGAATAATCATGTCAAACTTACCTCCAGACAATTCTATGCATTAGTCATTATCATTGAAACTAGGAGCAGCAGTAGACAACTTAATATGATCTTGGCTGATGCTCAGTCTCAATGATATATTGCTTCTTTCTCCCCCTATCCCTCACTGCCTTTGAAGCAGAGGGAAAAAAAATCCTCTTCCTTAAACATTCAGCATCTTGGCCTCAACAGATTGACTACCCTTTGAAGAAATGCTTTTTCATCTCAGTCCTAAATGGTCTACCTCATATCTTGAGACCATGTCCCTGATTCTTGAAAGCAGCGCAGGTTTTCTTCAGTTTGGGGCTTAGCCCTGTTTAATAGCCAACTGCTAGTTGAATTATTTTGTGTATGCTTATTTCATAGATCTTACCAACTTTCAAATCATTCTGAAGGTTTTCTTTAGTAAGACTCAATAATTCCTGACCATCAATGTTGTTAGATTTGAAAACAGCTATTAAATCCTGAAGCTCTTCTCCTGA